AAGAAAAGAAAAGAAAAGAAAAGAAAAGAAAAGAAAAGAAAAGAAAAGAAAAGAAAAGAAAAGAAAAGAAAAGAAAAGAAAAGAAAAGAAAAGAAGAGAAGAGAAAAGAAAAGAAAAGAAAAGGAAAAGAAAAGAAAAGGAAAAGAAAAGAAAAGAAAAGAAAAGGAGGAGTTAGACATCGAAATGAACGCGAAGGCACCGGGCTGGGTGCGGGTCCCTCGTCAGACCCCTCCGGGGACCCTTCCGTGACACCCGGAGCGGCAGCCCGTTGTTTTCGCTGTCCCTGTTTCCCCGCTGTCCCCGTTGTCCCGTCTGTCCCCGCATTCTGCCTTAGCCCACCAGAGGTGCTGAGGGGAAATGGCAGCAGGACTCAACCTACCACAGACATTTCTAGGAGCACTTCAAAAGCAAGAACTTAATTTTCAGGACAATTTTCCTGCTGCCGATTCGGCTACGGCATTCCCCCGGACTCCCCCTCTTGGAAAATAGTTTTTTCCAAAACTTAGTTTCTCTGCTTCCAGACCTACTAGGAGAGAAATGAAAGAGAGCTCGTGAGAGAAAGAAGACACTAGTGGACAGTTATTTTCCAAAGTTACTAACAAGGAAAGTGTTTTCAGATGGGGGCACCGGGGCACAGGGAGACTCGGCATTATTATTAAATCTTAAATCCACCATGAAAACGAGAGTCTCTATGCAGTTGCAGACAATTGGCCAGGCACAGCCTGGAGGAAGAGCTGAGGTATTGGAAAAGATGCTCTTGCTGTTCAAAGGTGATTTCTCTAATCCAGGCTGATTTATTTTCGATCGGGGCTCCAAAGAACTAGAAAGAGAAAACCAAAAAGCTACCGGGGAAGGGAATAAGATCTTGACCTTTCCTAATTCTCCAAATCGGCAGTAATGGAAACCAGAACGTGCCAGGGGAGGAGGCTGGAGTGCAGGGCCGAGCGGTCGGTGCTGCGGGAGCCGAGGCTACCGCCGCCCTGCTCGGGAGAGGCGCTTTGCTGAGCACGGGCTTAGCTAAGAGAAAGGAGAGAAAGAAACTGCCCCTCACTGTCGTCCAGAAAGAGATATCCCTGGGTAGGAGATATCTATATTTCCTGCCCCAGGAAATACAGGAAAGTTCCACTTGGTGATCGTTTTCTCCCCATCCTAACTTCTCCGAGGTCTGCTCAGGCACGGAAAATTGCAGCGGAAAAAAAAATACATAAACCCTGCACAGAGCATCGCGGTTTTACTGCAAAACTTTCGGCTGCACTCAGAAAGGAGGAGTAGCAGGAAATAAATTTAAAAAATAAAAAACAGCCCCACAGATGCAAGGCAGCCAAATGGGTGAAACTCTGACACCCCCCCACACACACACACACATTGCACCTCGGAAATGGCAACGGAGAGAAATCCCGTCGCGAAGGGGAGAGGGGAAAATCCCAAAGCAGCCCGAGGATCGGGCCCTGCGGAGGGTGCAGGGCCGCCCCTCGCGCAGATTTACGCCGGGTTTACTCTTCAAAACAACCGCGAAAAGCAACGACAGAGAGCCAGCGAATTCGCTGGCGATCCTACGGGGGAAAGAAATGCCAGGTCGCCTTTTTGGCCGAGGACTCCAAAGCAGGGGACTCCAGCAGCTAATTATTTTCCTTTCAGCTATCAGCTATTGCTGGTGTCCTCCCCGCCTCCCCCAATAAATAAATAAAACCCTCCTTTAGGCAGCGAGGCGTGAAAAATGATCCTCGCTGAACGCTTAAAAAATAATGTCCCGTGAAGATCGGCGCGGCGGAGCCAGCCAGCCCCGTAATTAGGGGCCATTAGCCGTCCTGCCTCGCCGAGGCGATGTCGCGCATTAGCCCCCCTCACCCGGCCCGACGACGATTTCCCGGGCCGAGAAGAGCTCTCCCCGTCGCCCCTTGGCTCCGCGAAGGGTCGGAGAGGGCTGCTTCTCCACGGCCTTTCCGTGGAGCACGGGGAAGAGACGATTCTCTGCCCCAAAGCAGCGCATTTTATTTTTTTCAGATAGCGTGAGTTTCGGTGGGAGGAAAGATGGGGAGAGCTCGTGCTTAGAGGAAATTCAGGGGAAAAAAATACCCTGCCCCTGCCCTTGCCCTTCTCGGCGGGGTTTTGCCCCAAAAACAGAGGCACTGCAGATGGTCGCGGGCCGGGGAGGGCCGAACTGAACTGCCCCGGTACCCCTGACTGCTGAGAGGGGCTGCTACGACCCCCGCTTATGGGAGGGGGTAAAAACTCCCTCCGCTCTAACTGCGGTTAGCTCCGCTCCGAGCCCGACCGGCGCCCGCGGCTCCGCAGCGCCCGCCGGGCGACACACGGAGAAAGAAGCCGGGGGAAGGTGTCCCGGGCCACAAACCGCCGATCCCCCCCGCACATGTGGGGAGAGAGTCTCTCCGGGGAAACACCGCTCCCCTGCAGAGAAAAGCCCCTTCCTCCAAAATGCGAGACCACCAACTTGGAGACCCCCCCGGCGGCCTCCGCTGCACCCAGCGGCTCGGGAAGGCTGCGGGCGAGACGCGCTCCCTTTTGCTCACGCTATTTCATATCCCATCCTCGCGCTCTTCGGGATCACTTTTTTTTTTTTTTTTTTTTTGCCCCCTTTCCGCAAGCACTTAGCAAACAAACAAAACAGGAAAATAAATGGCTACTTTATATTAAAATACCCCCCGGCTTCCCGACACAGAGCAGCCACCCAGCCTCATCGCTTTCTTTCTTCGGATCCCGTCTCCTCAAAGCAGGCTCGGGTATTAAAGGAGGCTGAACAAAGATAGCCGAGAGCGGCTATCAGCGCATTTTAACTTCATCAAAGACTTCGGGGGAGAGGGAGAGGAGGGGTCTGGCACCTTCTAGTAATGAGCTTGTCAGGAACACCCCTGCCAGAGCAATTGAACAATTTGCACACAGAGAAAAAAAAAAAAAAAAAAAAAAAAAAAAAAAAAAAAAAAAAAAAAAAAAAAAAAAGGAGGAGGGAGGGAGGAAGGGGAAATGCTACAAAAGCCCCTTCAATTTCCAACCATGTGCTTGGCAATCTGGAAAATAGATTCATTGGCCTCCTCTTTTCTCCCATGTCGAGTCTTGTAGCCGCTTTTGTAGGAGCTGGACATGAAAGGGAGACAACCAAGTGCCGGACACGAAGATCGCTTTTCAAAAGCAAATGTGTGTGAAGCAGAGATGTGAGACCGCTCGCTGCGGGGAGGTGGCACGTTCAGGAACAACATCAACAAACTGCGCGGAGGTTCGGGGTGGCACAGACGGGGGGGGACCGAAAAAAAATGTTAAAAGGGGGTGGATGAAGAGAAAAGAAAAGACGATCCCCCCCAGCTCCGGTGCCTGCCCTCGCCCCGGCGGCCCCGCCGCCCTGCGCGCAGCGAGGCGCTCGCCAAGGCACCAGCTCCTTCTTCCTCTCTCCCTGCCTCTTGTTTTTTTCAGCATTTCTATTTCTCCTTCGCCTCCTGCCACTTCTACTAGCTTACTAGGTTGGCAGAAAGAGCCCGGTATTCAAGATCGGGGTCTCTTTCAATAAACAAACAACAACAACAACAACAAACAAGCCACGTTTAGTCCCTGTAAATAAATAAAATTTAGGGGGGAGAGATTTGGAGGAGAAGAGAGCGCTTAAAGATGTTTATTTACTTTGTAAGTTGTTGCAAAATTTAGGCGGAGATCAAGTTTCATTCGGTCATTCAAATGCTGCAGGCCCAAGGGGGAAATGTGTGCCGGGGGGAGGCGGGGGGAATCCTTCAACTTATTTTCTCATGTGTCAACTTTTCCAAACAAAATAAAGAGCCACGGAGGAGCGGGAAGAGAAGGGATAACCTTTCTCCCGGCAAAGGCATGGAAATAAGCAGAGTTATTAGGGAAAGGGGGGGAACAAAAACAGCAACAACAACAACAACAAACACTAAAGAAGAAGAAAAATGAGGGAAAAAAATAAAGCCATAAAACCAAGAGGTCCTTTCCCTCGCCGGCCGTCGAGAGGGAACCCAAAGCCGCGACCCCCTGCACGGCCAAGGGATGGAGGCATCGCCAATTTTCCACCCTGCCCGAGGCCGGGGCCGGTCTCGGAGCCGCAGCTGCGGCCAGAACCGCGGCCCAGGCGCTGCCGCTTTTAATAAGTAAAACTCCGCGACTTTGCCGAATTTCGCAAACCCGAGAGGGTTGGAGCCACTCGCTTCCCCGAGGCCCGAGCAGGGCTCTCGGCTTTCAGAGTGACAAAGGACATAGCAAAGAACGATTGGGATTATTATTAATATTTTTAACCAGGTCACAAACATTTATTAATTTACACCAACGGTGGACAGAATTCTCTTGCCTTTTTTTTTTTCAACATCAAAGTATTCACAGATTCTCTCAATAAAATAGATATGACGGATGCACAACCAGTGAAGATTTAACTGGACTCCGCTCATTAGCTCCCGAATAATCTATATACAAATAATTACCAATACACCAAAAAACCCACGCATGGAAGGGGTGGGAAAATGGGAAATTAAGAAAAACAAAAAGGAATTCTCCAAACTTCCTGACTGAACAGATTTTTTAAAAAACGTGCATTTGAATGTCTCATTAAAAAAAAAA